AGGGAGAGGATAAGCCCACAGCGGGCTTGATGCACCAAGGTTTTGGGAGGCAAATTTGGTGCAAGGAGGCATACGGATGCAGGTTGGGACCAGGGAGTGCGTGGAGGGGGGGGGCGGTGTGTTTGGTTGCCCCGCCATTAGGGGAGTCACGTGCGGTCGTTGCAGAAGCGCGGATAAAATTAGAAATTTATTGGCCCAGGGGGGTGCATTATTTTTGTTTTTCACACGCAGCAGTTTTTACCTGGAGCGGGGGCCCCTTTCCCCCTTCCAAAAGGGCATAGGGGGTTCTTAACCCCGAAAACATGTTCCCGGAGGCCCATTTTTTTAAAAAATCAGTTGGTGAGGTTTTTGTTGCCCCCCCCTGTAAAAGGGGCCCCATTTTCCGGGGATGTGGAGACGTTCCCCTTTCTTTAACAGGGGGGGCGGTTCAAAATTTCCCACCCCGGCCCCGGGGTTTCTTCTTTCCCCGCAGAGGATTTCCCCCAGGATTCCCCGAAAGTTGGTGAGCCGGGGGGGGGGGGGGGGGGCACGCAAGTGGACAATCGAGGAACGTTACGAGGAAATTATTGTTGTACCACATCGCGAGAAGAGTGGAGCACATTGGGGTCCATGTCGAGAGCAGGGCGAAACCGGCGGCTTGCTTCAACGGACGGTTTTGGACTGAATGAAGCGTGTGCACTGAACAGCTACAATAGCTGGTTTTTCTGACACTCACTGTAAATGTTTCACCACAGCCTCTTCCACTTGAACTGTGGATAGCTAGCAGTGGAGAACGAGGGCAGTCCTCTCCCCCGTCTCTCTTTGAAACCGAATACACGAACTTCTCAGTTTCTCCCCCAAGAACAGGGAGGACTTCGGGCCGTCTCAGTAGGCAAGGCTGGATGCCGCTAACAAAAAAGGAGGCAAAGTGCGGCGCGTATCGTTGGATCGGGTGCTTGTAGATCTCCCGGCGACTGACAATGTGTCTACCATCGTTCACGGTACCTGTAGGCATCGCTTAGCTCCGCTGGGACGTCTCCGCCCGCTCCTCCAGGCAACAGCTCCGGTGCCTATCGTCGGAAAAAAAAAGGAGGCACGGACGATCAACATCACCACCGAAGGTTCGGGGAGGGTACACAGGATGATCAATCGTTACTCATTGCTTGGCAAGGGCAAGGGAAATAATGTGTTCGGAGGTGCTTTGGAGGACGAAGCTCGCTCGTGCACCCGCCCCGACAGACGCGCTGACAACGTTCATCAACGGCACCGTAAGTTTCCCAGGGTGCTGGCTGGTGATAAACTGACAAAAAATATCGCAAAACCACAGAATCTTGTTCCGACCAAATTACAACATACGCTATAATACCATGGGTTATAAGTTTGTGATACCCGCTTACAAGGCAACTTTACACTACGAAGGCGTACCTCGGACTCCTTCCAAACCCCATCAGATTGGTCGACGAACCATCGCAATGAACGTTTCGGTTTCACGTTTGGCTTTGGTTTCGAACAGCAAGTTCAGTCAGCGGAGCCCCCCCACTCCAGAGCGAGCTCACACCCGCTCACCATGTATGTCATCGTCCCCCCCCTGAAGCTGCCAGACATGGTACTGCTAGAGCCCGTCGAGATGGCGTCGATGGTCTTCGAAAGTCCGAAGTCAGAGATCTTCATGAGCGATCGCGGAATTGGCCAGGGGGGATTCGCAGAGAGTGAGCGTGGAAGAGGATTGTTCGCGTTCGCCTTCACGTATGCTTCAATCAACTTTTAAAAGTGCGTCTGAGCCCTCAAGACCGACACTCCCCTACCGGCCTGCCTCTGTAGTAGCAAAGGACACCCGCCCGCGGATAAAGGAAAGACGAATACCATCTGTTTTCGGTCTTGGGAGAAAGAGAATCCCCTTCAACCTTCTCGGATGTAGTGGACACGGCCTCCATGAAACTTTGTAGTAAGGGGGTTGGCATGATGCTGAAAACGTAATACCTATTTGGAAGCTTTCTCTCCGTGCCAGGGCGCACAAGAGTCGAAAAGCCACGGGTTTCGGCCCATGCAGACACGCCATACCTTCACCCGCCAGTCGTGGGTGACGAGGCAGTTGGCGCTCTTGAGGTCTCGGTGTTGGACGCCGTTGTTGTACAGGTACGTCATGCCCTCAGCCGTGTCTAGCAGCAGGCCGTGCCGCACCACCCGCGTCATGCTCTGCCGCTGCCTGTCGTCGTCTAAGATCTGTATAGATGTGGTCCGGCGCCCCGCAGCATGCGCGCGAACGAAAAATCAATGTGACAGTGGGGGGGGGGAGGGGGTCCTCCAGTTGTTGATTGGTTCCGTGGGCTGACCATTGACGACGACCACCCCCCCCAAGCTGGTGATTTCGTGAGATTGCGAATGCCTTTTCGGGCGGTTGCATTTCGACTAGGAACGAGGGTCAATCAACCAGCAGCCGTCAGAAAAGAAGGCGAGCCACGCGCCCAGCTCTTCCGGTGCTTCTCATAAAAGCGTTTTCGTGTGGCGAGGTTGTCACAGCAGCCCTCTCAAGACAAACTACACCGGCCGTACTTCTATCACACACCTTGAGTTTCAACCGCCGCCTTGGCGGCACAACGGTAGGAAGCTTATTGTTGCGACAAACACCAGCCATGCAACAGTTACTACGGAAGGAACACGCGCTGCGCACTCACCGTTCGAATGCTGCCTCTCTCTAGAAACTCCATCACTAGGGTCAGCTCCGTAGGAGACGCGATAGCGCCGTACATCGACACCACCCTGATCGATTTTTCACGACAACCGACGTTGTTGGCCGAGAAAAAAAGGATTGAACGTCGAAAAAGGGGGGGAGAAACAGTACCGTGTGCTGCCGAAGGATGGTCCGATGTCGTTTGCTTGCACTCGCCGGCAAGAGAACGCCGCCTACTTTTAGTTGGCGTTTCGGTTCGTGCTTCACGTCCCCTGCCCCACTAAGGCAAACCGCACTACACGTATACGTACGCATATTCCTCTGCGTCATGCGTTCAAACATCCATCATCGCCTGTGACCTAGGGAAGACAAATAATTTTCCACAATAAGCGCGACACTTGTGAGAGGGTGAGTCACATGGCTACAAGAGAGGTGACTGACCTTAGTTTCGGTACACTATTTCAACCTTCCTAGAAATACAGGGAGACACACGCATGCACGCACCGACACCCCCCTGTCCGTAGAATCCTTTGGTCAGAAATCGTGTTCGCGTTTTTTTATCCCGCTACCAAGTCTGATTCATTTTCATTGGTCAGCCAGTTAGCGCGGTCGATGCAAATTAAAGCAAACACACACACACACACACCTCTCGCTGTGCATCTGGCTTAGGATGTAGAGCTCCTTGACAAATCTCTCGAACACGCGGTCAATGTCCTTCTTGCCCACCCCTAACCGTGCCAGGTTCGTCTTTTTCGCGGCCTTGACGACTCCCTCGTGGATGACTTGATACACCTGCAACCGGCATTTCGCAACATAGATAGGTGTTCGTAAACCTACCCGATAACCAAATAGTGTTTTGAGTAAGACGTCGAGGAGCGCTTGATGCTGTGCGATATCTCGCCACACCTACGGCAAACAATCCGAGCGATGCTGATACACTATCCTTGACGTCTTTCACGATATCTACCGTGCCACTACCGTCCTTCGATTAACCAACGCAAAGACTGCACTCTTGGTGCCCTCACTGCCAACCACGGAGAAGCACGGATGCGCGCAGGGAGGTTAGAAAAACGTAAGAATCAAGCACGAACTATCAACTTGACGTCATCCAGAACGATGCGTACGTCCCTCCGTCTGCCGAAGACGATCTCTACAGAGTGCAATAGATGAAGGAGACAGGACCAAACCAACACCCAGAGCTTAGCGTAGTATACCTCGGAGTAGCTCCCAGAGGCGAAGGGCCTCTTGCTGGCGTAAGTCACGTCGTCCTTGGAAATTTGTAGCTTGTACAGTTGCTCCTTCCCGAGCTCACGCAACGTCTACATCGCGAGGCGGTAGAATAACAGCAGGCAAGACGCACGTAATCTCAAGCCAAGGTGCTGAGGGGAGCACTACGAACGGCAGTGCTACCAAGCAAAGGGAACAACGATTCAGAACAAATGCGGGACGTGGGTGGCGATGTGGGGCAAATCCGCGTTGTTGGCGCCCTGGGTACTGTTCACCGATCGAAACGCCTAAGCCGCCATATCGCGAGAGTCTACGGGAGTATGTAGACGCTACGCCAACCGAGACTTTTTCGCACGCACGGCAACACACGCGACGCGCCCCTCCCGCGGGACCCGCACCTTGCCATTGGAGCGTGGTCGTTCCTTCCCGTCACCGCTTGAGCTGCCGACGCTAGAGACACGTCCGAGAACCTGTCGCCGGCAAATCGGGGGCGGGGGCGGGGGGGGACAAGAGTAGGGGGGAAAGAATGCGCGCGAGTCTCAGCCTCTCGGGTGTCACATCAAAACTTGCACCCAACAATTGTCGGAGACCAATTCGGCACGGAGGTTCTATGGCGTGGAGTTGTTTGGCAGACGCGCGGACAAGACTTGAACCTTTTTTAATTGTCCGTGCGTGGACCTTGTGCACGCCTATGACTTCGCAGATCGGCATGTTTAATAAAAGTTGCGCACAGCCCGTTAGCTGGGAAACAACAACAGCAGCGGCGGCCCGGACTGCCTACGCAAAGAACATAAAAAGCAAGTTTATTTTGCACGAATACGACCAGGAAGGGGGCACGCAGACCCTAACCCGTAACCCTTACCCCAACATAGCGGATTCTACACATACCTACTTTATCCAGTAGGAGGAGTATTGTATGTTTGCTCACTTAGAAAAACCTGCACAGACAGACTATCGGGTGCCCCCCTCGTTCTCACCTCAGCTATGGACGCGGAGTACTTGGCGAGACTGAGCTCCATCTTCGCCGCGGATTCTTCCTGCCTCCGGAGCTGCTCGATGATCATGTCCAGCTTCTCGTCCACCACCAGCCCAACGCCCTGCAGGCGCCCCACCATGGTGATGAGCTCGGCGCCTTGCCCGACCTGCAGCGGGAACACACCACGAGCAAACACAGAGAGAGAGAGGGAGAGAGCCACCCCTTTAAGACCGTTTAGCAAACGTCGTCGAGCCTCTTACGAACAACATACACCCATTGCCCTTGGGTGCAGCGTACACGCGTGCTCCAGACTCATAAAAAATTCTCCCTTTGCATGCGCAAAAATGGTTTGTGCGCGCTGAGAGGAGAGGGTCTCGATTCTGCCGGGCGTCTTCAAGCAGGAGGCAAGGCTAACAACTCTCCACTCCTGTGGTTAACCGGCGAGGCTGCCTGTTGGGGCTTACGCTGAGCTTGGTCAGTGCCCCCCGGAGAGCGGTGTCTGCGGCGTCGACGGCCCTCTGGCAGGAGCGAGAAGAGGCATACTGCGCCAAGGTCCCCTTCGCGTTGTACGAGGCGACCGTCTGCAGACAATATTCCAAGAAAATTTGGGTTGATGGGGGTTGCATATTATTCGTCACGAAATACGCCAATTTATTATGTTTTCAAAGGCCGGAGCCTTCGTCATGATTGGTGGTGATCGGTGGGTGAGACGCTCGGCGGAAGGACTTAATACCCCAAAGTGGTCTGCAGAAAGTGGTCTGCAGACCCAGGGCAGGCGAGCACCCAAAGCGGTAATGACGCCTACTTAGTGGTGGAGGGCGTTATTGCAAGAATGGAGGAGAGTCAACTATTCCCGCCCCCCCACCAGAGTCTGGTCCAGTGAGAAGTCCCGGCGTGCTCCGTCCGTCCCGGCTTTGTAGGGATGCGCGAGGTCACCGGTCTAACGACTACGGCATGCACGGCTATGAGTACCCCCCCCCCCCCCCCCCCACACACACACACAACACACACACCCAAGCACGCCTCAGACAAGGTAAGGTTTGGTCTCGTGCGGCACCCTCTCCTTGCGCCGGTCCCCACCGCGTAGCCCCTTTACCCTCGCCTGCTACGCGCGGGGCCGAATCGAACCACTCACATCCACGAGGGTCTGCAGGCTGCTCATGACGTCCGTCGACATGTGCTGCAGAGCGCGAGCATTCACCGCCGGCCGGGTCTACCATCGCCGGACAGGGGTGGCGTCACGTGGTGGGAAGGCGTCGGACGATGACAGGCAACCGTTGCATGTCGTGCAAGAGTAGGAGAACGGCAGCGAGCGGCGGATGCAACAGGAAACGGCAACCGGGGTTGTGTTTCAATCGACTGATGGATGATGGATAGCGCGACTGCAGGCTGGGGTTATCTCCCGCCATCCGTGAAATCCCCCCGTGTGTTTTGCTTTCGTTCCTGTCTGTGTGACCCCCGGCTGGCTGGTTCGTCAAAACACGTATACATACGAACGGTGTAGACTTGGCTCCCAGACCGAATGGGACCAAGAAAATGCACACGCGCACCACACACAATTGCAGCTTGCTCTTACATCATCGGAAAAAAAACAACACAAGCCTCTGTGTCGGAGGAAACTGACATTTATTGCGAATCGGAATAATGTCATCTTTTGGAAACCTGGGGTCACCTAGAGGACGAGATGTTGGAGGAGGTTTTCCCCCTTTTCTGGCGACAGCAACAAACGCTCGTTGGAAACATGCCGACAAGCGGATTAGTCTACACCACTGTCGCAGTGCCTGCCTCCCCTCCCCCAGCGGACAATCGCTCGCTTTCGCACTCCTCCGACCGTTGCGAGACTGAAGCTGTCCCATGTCCGTGACTTGACTGACCTGCATCTGACGGCTCATCTGCACGAGAACGTCACGCAGGCTGATGGCCCAACTCTTGATCTTCACCATGTTGCCCTAAGTACCACGCAGCAAGCAGGGAGCGAAGCACGCGTGCGTGTTAAGAGCGGTGCCTTGCATGGCTAAGGGGACTTTTATTTGGTTCGACTCTCCGGCATGAAGTCGTACACGGATAAACATGACAGTGTTGGATAGATGGCTTAAGCAAACCAGAACAACAAAGGGGTCTTGCACATGGACATCGAGGCCAAAACGTACTATTATTCGACATCGGTGCTGAAAGTACGCCGGATGTACGCTTTTGCGTTTGTCCTGCTGAAGAATAAGAGACCTGGCGAACTCGAAGTGTGTGCCTCCGCGGGTGTTTATGTTATGCATCTGCATTTTGGCAATGCGATGAATGTCCGCGAGTCAACGGTTTTGTGGGCATGACGCACATCGCCACGGTCCCTGGCTGGGAAGAGCGTACGACCTGCAAACAACGCCCCGCTCGTCTTTGACGCCTCCTGTGAGAAAACCACAGTACCTACAAAACCTTGGACACCGAGAGAGGTACGCGAAGCACCGAACGCGAGCCCCACAACCAACGCTACCGACGAAACTTTCACAGCATCCTGAAAATCCCTCCAGAAAAAAAAAAAAATGTGCCCCGTCGTTCTGACACCTGCATCGCGTTCCTGGTGTCCACGCTGTCGGCAATCTCGTTCAGCATGTGGTACGCCACTCCAATCCACGGCAGGCCTTCCGCGAGCACACCGACCATGTTCCACCCGAGCGCCACGCCTCCGGTAATCGCTGCCCCCGCTGAGCCCACCGCGCCCACGCGGACTTCGCCGCCTGGAAACAATGGCGGGGGGGGGGGAGGTAAGCTCTCCAAAAAAGGAGCAAAAACTGCCCAAGGTGCACGCGACGAGCACAGGGACGCACTAGTTGGTCCCTGATTAAGGCTGCATGCCCGTGCATAAGGCCACTGAAATAGCGTGACACGGGTGGAACAATCAACTTGTCACGTTGATGTGCCGGGTGCCCGAACTATGACGGACGGCCAAATACCTCGGCACTACAAACTATTAACAACATGCGGTGAGGGACAACTGAGTATCATAACCATTACTACGAGCACGAAGCATCGGCTTCTCGACCCACGGAAGGGTGAAATTGCCTCTGGTGCACTTGGCGTGAGCGCCACTAAGGGTTCCGGCTTAACCTGAAAGAGAAACGCTGTGCGTCTGGCTGCCGGGTGTCTGCCCGCCGTGGTTGGGGGGGTGCGTGTTCCGCGTAGCCCCCACCATGTGGGTCGGTCCGAAGGCGGCAAAGTCTGCGGAAGGATCACAGCAGTTCAGTGCCGCGCGGGAGGGAGAGGTACAGGGAGGGGCACAGCGCGTTGTGGTAGGAAACATGAGGTCTGGTGTGCGTTTCACAAGGGTTGAGTCCGTTCGCATACGTACAAGCGTACTTTGTGGCGGAACTGGACACAGACCTCCTCGGGAACATTGCAAACACACATTTCGGCGAGCGCTAGATTGCTGGTCATGGTACAAATTTGTAACGCCGAAGTTGTGTACGCAGGAGGTTCTGGTGGTGGTGGGTACGCGTCATCATAGCTTTTCAACCCCTTGCGTATGCATACGACGTTCTCGTCTTGCTCCGAGTTGAAGACGGCAACCCTTCCGAATCCTAATCCTCATCTCGAGAGAGCCCCTTGTCTTGTCACCTTCGAGTCCACGAGCGTCGTCATCCTCACCCGTACGATGGCCGGCTTCGGCTTCGTGATGAGTACCTGTTTGATAAGGAAGTGGCCCAAAGGGCGCAAGTCAATTAGAAACGGTGCAATTTTCTTCTCGGTGAGACCCGTGGTATACATTTCTGTCCCAGTTCCAATCCCGTCTCATGTGGATATCCGCGTGTCTTGCCCAAAATCAACGTAAAGTATGCAACAAGATAAACACACGACCGTTTGCGTTCACATGTTCGGCTCGTTCACGGGGTCGACTCTGGCGACAACAATCCCGCACCTTCACGCGCGGGCAACAATTTACATCCGAGCGATGCTACGGCGTTGCCGGAGGTATCATTGTAATTTTTTTTTTCTTCGCTTCAAATCAGCGCTCACAGCACTATAATAGTGCCGTTTTACTCCAACTCGTGGTCACACAGAAGAGCCCTTCTCTACTCTCCCCTCCCGCGGTACTTTGCCTTCGATTTTTAATGCGAGAAGAGTTTAGCACTCTCTTCCCTCTGCGTACACAAGAACTAGCGCTATCCACTAGGCCAGGAGCGGAAGCGAGAGAAAAACTTTGCAAGAAAAGCTCACTTACGCCGGGATTCGAACCCCTGACCTGACCTCTTGAGGATTTCGAGGATACCAACTAGACCACCGGGCTGACCATAAAACCAATAGATGGCAGCTCGCTCCGGCAAACGCCGCAGTGAGCGAGCGCCACAAGAAGAGCACGGCCGCAGAAGGCTGACTCGTACCGTAATCACGTTCCCAGTTTCCACCGACAACGGCTCGCAAGCGTCGGTCGGATACTCACCGCTCGTGGTCACGGAGGGATTCATCTTCTTCTTGCAGAAGCCCGAGTTGCCGCCTTGCCTCCCCAGACGCCGGCAGCAGCAGAGAAACATGATGCCCACGACGAAAATCGCTCCGGCCACCGCAGTGAGGGCAATAGCTATTATCCATTCCTGGGGCGCGTGGGGGGAAAACATCCACCCAAGACGAGCAAGACTAAAACGGTGAAAGGCCAAATCATTGTCAGTTTTCGGTGTCATCGTGTTTGACGAACGGGCTTCTTCTTCAAGTTGCGCGGGCATGTTGCAATATACATCGTACCGACAAGGCGACAGACGCGCCGCCACGACCACCGTGTCGTTGTCGTGACAAGCAATCGGGGTAAGGTATGAAAACAGCAACAACCCCGAAGCCAAACACCCCGTGTTAAAGTGAAACAGCAATCCACCCAACCAAGCCAACAGCCTGACCGTACTACCAACGCTGCACACTTCTTCGACACGGCAAGACTCAGAGGGCCGAACCGTCACGAGAGAAACAATAAAAGAAACTACATACTGCTGTAAACACTCGATGGTAGTTTGTACAATATCTCTGGATTGGAACAAAGCTTGACGAAAGACAAAAAAAGGATGATGGTATTGGCGTTGTCGTCGCCGGCACGTTTCGGGCGTTGCCGTTGCCCCACGGCTGACTCGCAGCCGCTACCACCGTAACCCTTACCGTGCTCAGCACCTCGTCGTCTCCATCCGCGCTCCCGAGAGCGTCGCCGTCGTCGTCGTCTTCTACCACCACCTCCCCATCATCATCATCGTCGTCATCGTTGTCGTCGTCGTCGTCGTCGAAAACGACAGGTGAGGGTGAAACCGCCACCTCCAGCCCCCCAAGCTCAATCGCAGCCAAATCCACACCCATGGTCTCGATATCGGCCCCCCTGTCATCCGTGTCCTCGAGACCCAGCTGCCCAGACGCGTTCAAACCCCAGCTTCATTCACGGGGCGGCGGCGCCAGGAACGGGGGGGCCTTAGGTGCTTGGCAATCGACACGAGTGTCTATGGTGGACGGCGGGGATGATGCCTAAAATCAAATTGAGTTCGAAGCTGCGAGGGGATTGGGTAGACAGGCGGGCCTCTAGCGACCGAATGTATGAATCTTCAAGGCAACGGGCCGACGAAACAGGATTGCACAGAGTAGTAATCGAGACTAGATGGACCCTTTCACGCACCACGTGGGTTTGGGGTGGAAGTCTGCCCCAATCTGCTCCAGGAGAAAAAAAAGAGGCTTGTCGGAAGAAAAGGAGGTTGCAGTACAACCTTCTTCGCCGCGTTAAAGAGGCGTTTTGAAAGGGGCGCCTTTCTTCAACATTTTTGGAAATGGCCAAGAGAGTTCGAAGCCGAAACAAATGGACAGTTTCAAAAAACTTGGAAGCGAATGGGGCCCAAAAACAGTTGGAACGATTGTCTTCAAGGTCGCGGAATTTCTCCACCATTTTCGTATGACATCCTCATGCTTTGAAGTCACACGCCATTTGGGAAAGTTAGTTACGCCGAACTACAAAATGTAAGACTTGAGCGAGATAGCACGACGCACTGAAATAAAAGAAACGGTTACAACGGCCTCCTATTCCTACAGCAACACCCGAAGCAGCAAACATTCGTACGCACAAGCCACGAAATGCGCAGAATTAGAGGACAGAAAACCGGAGAATGGGCGCCCGGACAAAGCCTCTAATCTGTGGCCCCAATCTTTAACCCACACATGATGCCAGAAGTCGCGACCAGAAAATAAGAGAATCAAGAAGAGCGGTTTTGGACGCACAAAGGACTAAACAGCGCGGAGAATAGTCGAAACACATGCATGCGCACAATACATATGTAGCAAGTCGTGTCGTGTTTACAATCGCGTGCTATCACTCACCACTTGAGCGAGGAGTCCTGGAAAATAACGCACGTGTGGTCGAACCCCGCGAACACCCAGCCGGCCACGCGCCCGGTGCCGAGATCCACCGACGGCAGGTTGTCCCCGATGGTGTCCAGGGAACCGCCTCGGCTGATTTGGTCCTCGAGGCCCAGCTGCCCGGCGCCCAGGTCCTCGACGGTGTTCACACCGAAGCACTTCACCTCATCGTTGTCCATCAGCACGCACGTGTGCCACCGCCCCGCCGCCACGGCCACCGGGTGCCTTCCTTCGCCGAGATCCACCCCGACCATGTCGTCTCCCATCTGCCCGGCCGTGTACCCCCGATCCTCGGTGTCCCCCTGCCCCAGCTGGCCGTCGTGGTTCCTGCCGAAGCAGTGCAGCTCCTTGTTGTCCAGGATCACGCACCTTTCCGTGCAAGAGAGAGGGGGGGCGCGATTCGGCAAAAGGAACGCATTATTATTAATAACAAGTGCGCGTTTCGCCGCTCTTAGAGCCGAGCAGTGGCGAAGGTGTCGCATGCGAGGCGTCTCGCCCGTGTACGCGAGAAAAGCACCGCGGGTGAAACACAAAACGATGCTAAGAACGAGCGTGTGTGTCGCGCGCGATAGGGAGGTGACTTACGGCTCTTGGGTCCTCGGACACTAACCGGTGTCGGGAATGGGTCCGTGGCGAAGCAGCAGCAAAGCTTCGAGACGAGAACGAAACAGCAGAGATTTCAGCTTCAGAAAGCTTCAGAAAAAAACAAGTTTTCAGCTTCAGCAATCTTCAGAAACAACAACTCACTATACATGTAGATACAGATTATATTCATTCACAGTCCGTGTACCCGCAGCCTCGATACGCTCACGTGTGGTGCCAGCCAGTCTCCAAAGCCACAGCTGTCCGGTTTGTCCCGAGGTCGACCTCGGGTAGATTGTCTCCCATCTGGCCTGGGGCGATACCGATACCGTCAGTGTTGCCTTGCCCCAGCTGGCCGTAGTTGGACGAGGTATCGTTCCTCGCCCCCCAACACTGTTGCCATGACGTCATGACACGATCGACCGAGGTGGGGCACCAAAGAAGATGTTGGTGGAGATGCGTATGTTACGTCGGGACTATACAAACTAGCTGGTGTAGGCCAGATTGCGTTCAGCATATCTCGGGGGGTAATGGCGTACATGGGTTGCAGGAGTTGGGGCGGGTATCCTGAAGCCCCACTTAGGGGTTGTCTCGAGCAAAAAAATAAAATAACCACCATACACGAGAGGCATGGGGGTTGAACCCTATACATGAAAGGTATCTCCACGGCGAGATTGATCGTATGAAAATCCCTTTACTTTGTGATTGTTTTTCTGGGAACCCTCAGAGCAACGACCCAACGTCCATGGGCGTACTCACGTCCCGGCGCGCTGTACAAGCGGCTCACAGCAATCAAGTCAGCCAGTGTCAACCTATGTCCGACGCTGGCTCACCTTCAACGCTTCATTGTCCAAGATAGCGCAAGTGTGATGCCTGCCTCCCGACACGGCCAAGGCCGTGTGTCCTGCCAAACCGAACCGTCCCCCGGTACCAAAGAAGGCGCCACCGATGGACAGGAGCAAGCAGAACGGGCGACAAGAAGACGCCAACGAGGTTGAAAGTTAAGTTAGATGAGTTCTAGTCGGGGGAGCTCGTGGGCCACGTGAGATTAGCGTTGCAAGGCATCGTACCCTTGGTCGCGGTACACACCTGACCTCGCTTTGCACCACCCAACGAACGTTAGCTTACACCGACATCAAAGGCCCGTTCTGGTTGGTATCAACATCACGCGAAACGTTGACATTATGTGTACACGCTCCGTATCTCGACGAGAGCGCCGGCTTTTTCGACTTAGGACTGTTCTTCTTCTCGGCGTGGTGGGAACAAAGAAGGGAAGAGATGAAAATCCCCCCGTCCGATTGATGTAAACGTAAATGTGAACCCATGTATGCATGCGTGTCTTCCTACTTGGCCTGGGCGGAAAAATTGTCTAGTTGTACAAGCAATAGTTATCTCACCAGTACCCAAGTCGACAAACGGTAGATTGTCACCCATTGTATCGTTCGCTTCTCCCCGATTGTCTGTGTCTCCCAGCCCCAACCTGAGCAAGCAGCCAAGAGCACGTCGCACGAGAAAAGACAAGGTCAAGCCAATGTCAGGGACGAATCACTAGACTACTCTTGAATCTTTTGCGCGGTCGCCAGAGACAGACAGCTGTATCGGGCCCTTCCAACGGACCGGTCAGTCACACCGCGACGAGTGCTTCGGAAAATCACGTGGTCTCATATTGCCGTGGAAGGCGCCAGTGCTTGGGGTGCGCTTGAGGAGGGAAGGGAGGAATCACACGACCACCATCACGCGCTAACAAGAGTGAGGCATCCACCGTAAGGACACCACAAATCGTGCATATGCCGTCTGGCCACGAACGTGTTCGAGAAGCAAGACGACACGCAAAGCTAGCCCTAAACCTGCGAGCGACGGCAGTAAATGGGGCCAAACAACGAAAAAGGGACAAAGAAAACCCAAAACTAGCAGGAAAACAGCAGTCCGACACGCTGCCAGAACGATGTCACAGCCGACAGAAACGGAATGAACGTACAATGTAGGTCCCATCATCACTGCCCCCCCCCCCTCAGTCAATCGCAATACAAGTAATGTAGTTCTCACGCGCCAAAGGAGTTGTACCCCCAGCACTTCAGGGCCCCAATGTCGAGAATGGCGCACGTGTGGTACTGTCCGCAAGCGATGTGGGTTGCCGTTCTACCCGTCCCCAGGTCTACGACAGCCAGACCCTCCCCCATGTCGGAAGAAGAGTTTCCTCTGTGCTCGGTGTCCCCAAGACCGAGCTGTGCGATCGACAATAACGGCGGCACCCAATGATAGACATGCGACCAGGGAGAACGTCAGAGTAGACAAGGAGGCAATAAATACGGAGGCTAACCAGGGCAAGCCCGAAAGCAAAGGCAACGGCAAGACGTGGGTCGCCTTGGGACATGCGCTGATCGTTTCACCGATTTCACTGCACGATTTGCACGAAAAGAGCGCACGGGAGGGAACGGGCGGTGCCGAGCCGAAAAGCTACATGTCGTAACACGGCGAGGCCAGACGCGAAACGACTCACCGCACGTGCGGCAGCAGGTTTGCCACAGTGGCAACGACAACAGCAGCGCAAGCCGACTGTCCCGGTGATACTGTACAACATAGCCAAGTACGGGTCACACCCATCTCCGTCCGTTCGGCGTGGTATGATGCGCAAGAACCATGTTCCATCGCTTCAAAGGGCTGCCGTGGCGTGAGTACAAGACGACGGCAGCAATCGAGCATCTCCCAAATTCGTACGTTTTTCAACCGTGTTAACACGGATAGCACAAGCAACTTTTGGATAAGGTGGCAGCGCACTGTAAAAGCTCCAAGCCACCTTAGTACGACGCTACGCCCGGAAACGGCTACCTGAGCATACATCTACCGACCCGAACCCCTGTTGCTCGCTCGCCTGGCCATATTCATTGAAACCCCAGCACGCCACGTTCCCCGAGGCCAGTAGGACGCACGTGTGGCTCTGTCCGGCCGCTACCTGCAGCACCGTGTTACCTCCGAGATCAACCTCCGGCAGATTGGAACTCATTTCGTCCTCCTGAAGGCAAACAAGCAAGCAGCGACGACACGTGCGCGACAGACAACCAACAGTCCGAAAAGCAAGCACATTGCTGGCTGTCAGAGTACGGTGGCAGATGGCAGTAAAATTTGTCTTGCCAGCGCTGGCAAGAGCGCGCGGGGTGGTAGATAAACTGTGCCCTTGGGGTGAATCGTCAACGAGTGCTGGGCGTCGATCCTTTCCCCCAAGCATCTTGTGGTATTCGCGTCCTATTATAGTTCAATGGCATAGAGCAAGTTCCGTGTAACCAGACGGTACGTTTCCCCACGAACGCAAGCTGGCCGTTCTTCTTTGCGTTGGGGTGGAACGGCTTGGGACTTCGCCTACATGGTACATCGGTGCGGGATAACACAATGGAAGCGCGCCCCGAGGGGTTCCGACTGCCCTGCCGCAGTGTAAGTACCACTTGATGGTATGAACGTATGAGCTACTACATCCCGGCATCCATCCCGGGAATGGTCACGGTCGCCGCCCTCACCTCATCTCCGAGGGTTTCATTGTTGCCGGTGCCCAGTTGGCCGAAATTGCCGAAGCCATGTTCCACCGACGACCCGGGTTCCAGCTCTGTCACTCCTAGGGCGCTGCCCCCCCCGAAACACTTGAGCGATAGGTCCGATAACACCGCGCACCTGTTTCGCGCGCGTGTGAGTGTTTCTTGAATTAGCATGACCGCGCCAACGAGCGGGGAGACGTCGGTCTCACAGCGGGAAAAAGGAAAACCAACACGCTTTCCACGCGCTTTCCAAGTCAAAGGACTCTACCGGCAGGGGGGGGGGGGGGTGTTTGTTCGCCCGTCGTTCATGGTCGAAGGGCAACACGCGTCAAAAAATCCACCGAAACATCATGCATGTGGTATTCTGCGCACGCCGCGCGGAGTGACGGTTACAGCGTAGGGTCACTCCTCACAATAGGCGCAAGAGAGACGAAGAGAAAAGAACGACTAAACGTCCACCACGATGATTTCACCCCTCTCGAGATAAAACCTTCAACTGTATACATACAAGTTCACGGGCTCTCTCATTGGCCCTACAGCAGTACGTGGGTGAAATGCTATTTTCATCGATCCCCCTGCCGCATCGCGAAGGGACGTATCCTCAGCACGTCACCGCCATCTGCCAGACATGAAAGAAGAGGGAAGGTAACCAGCCCCCAGACGCTGGGAGGCACGCGGCCCAAAAATCGCCGCCCATCCCCGAACCACAACCCCTGCCCGTCTTCTCACGTGTGGAACAGCCCTCCGGCGACGGTAGGTCCTGTTGGCGTCGTTGACGAATCGGCCACCTCCACCAGAAAGCTAATACAGAGGTGGAAAATGTGACACAAGAGCGACAACTTGCGCAGCTCCAAGCGTCGCATCGTGCTCGGACGCCTCCTTTGCCGCGTCTGGGAAAGGCTACCGCGAGAAGTGAAGCATCCGTGTGAATGAATCAGACCGGGGGGGGGCGGCGGGAGGGGCGGCGGAAGGCTTAAGTGACGTTGTAGCTTTTTAGCGTACTTCTTCTTGATGGCCTAAATCACGAATAGGTGGCCCCCGGAGGGTCGGAAACGCCCCATTTAGAGCAAGAACCAAACACAAGCAATCGCTCACAACCATCTCTAGCACCTGCACTACACCAACCCCTACAGTCAACACGGGGGGGGGGCGGCGCTCGATCGAACCCAACGGGTCATTGGACACACGCGGTTGATGCACACGAGGTACTGGTGTACAACAGGCAATCGAACGGGAGTAATATCTCCCCCCCCCCCCCTACCCCACTGTATGTG